TATCTTTTTACGGGACTCGGGCTGGTTTCCTGAACTGGGGAGTAAATGGACGAGACACCTCCACTGCGTCCGATCATCCAGTGACGCTTGGAACCTTTCCGCCTTCCTCCAACTTTCCTCCATTAGACTGGACTGGCTCTCGTCGCACGCCGGCACGGACACGGTACCCTTTTTACACCTCTCCTCCACGGTTGAACACTTCGACTTGCGTGGAAGATGGTGGCCTAAGCCTGAGGCGGTTCAAACTATTACTAATACCCCAGGCTTTGGGTGTTTGAAGACGTTGAAGATGGTGCTAGACACGGTGTGGTGTGGAATTTGCCATATGTGCCGTTTGGTCCGGTTCAAAGACAGGCCGACGGGGGTGGTATATGAGGGGGGTTTGGGGTTGCCTTTCGACTATGCGCGTGTTCTAGCGCCACTTAAATACCTGGAAGAGGTTGTGATTATTACACCCAACCACCGCCCTGGGTGGACTACATTTGGTTCGAATGCAGACACAAACTCGGAGACGACGCTCACCTCCGACACAAACGTAAACCCGAACTTATGGTCGGGTGAATGCTATGTCTGCGTGAGGGTGGCGTACAAAGAGGATGCGTTCCGCGAGAAGTGGGTGGCTAGGAAGAGACGCGTCGGTCTGGCCTGCGGTGATGGTGATAACGATGATGGTGAGAAAGATCTGAGGCCACCAAAGTTGAGGAGGGTGGAGTATCGGTTCTCTACAGGGTATCTTTGAGCACTAATACAGGTCAATCACGATGTAATCCGCATTTCTTCGGGGTGGATTCCTCTACGGGGTGAGACTCCCTGCCTTACATGCTTGTGCACAAGTTGACTGTTGTGCGCTTTACAGCTCCACCAAAAAAAAAAAAAGAAACAAGAAAAGAAGAAGCCGGTGCCTTCACAACCAGTTGTTACTCATTGGGACAGCTCCGGAACATATTCGCCTGGCTCACAAAAAAGTTCAGAAAAGCCGACCCATCCTTGTATGTTTTTAAATCTAGTTTTTGCAGTGCTTGGACCTCTGTTGATTGTTCCCTTCGAGCAACAGCATAACATATAGCGTGCTGGCGGTACGAGCTCTTCTTCGAATATGGGTGGAGGAGATGATTTGTTGTTGTAGTAGTCTTTGATGATTTGTTGTGTGCCATAGGCGATAGACTTTATTTTCTCTCTTCCTCTTCAATTTATTCAAACACAACGTTGGGCAACGTTATCTGACCATTTCCTCTTGCTTCTTGTCCCCTTGAATACCTCAAATCTCATTGGGGACGATACTAGTACCAACGTCTACACCTCCACCATCTGGCAGTCCAATCCAGTTTACGCCATCTTCATGAGTGCTACCAGGATAATCCGTGAAATTATACGTCCTAGCCACCTCTGACTAGATCATCCGCGGCGCTAAGCCTAATCTGATCACGACAAACGTACTATGCATCCCGAATTGCTTGAGTTCCAGGACGACATTGACGCCCGTCTACCTTTACTCGGCAAAACAATGTCTCTCCCCCTAGAACTAGTCCAAGAAATCATTCATCTCCTACTCTTCTCCGCCCCACCGCGCTCCTCGACTCCAGAAGATCCCGGCAATTCAACTAAACCCAGATGGGGCACGATAGATGCGCTCAGCCTCACTTCACAAAGCTGCCGCGCCCTAGTGCTCGAAGCCTGGTTTCGCACTCTCTACATCGAATCGCCGGAGGATCTAATCTTCTTACGGGAGTCGGGCTGGTTTCCTGAGCTAGAGAGTAAATGGACCAGACACCTCCACTGCGTCTTAGAATCATTCAGCAACGCTTGGAACCTTTCTGCCTTCCTCCAAGTTTCCTCCATTAGACTGGACTGGCTCCCGCCGTGCGCCAACTTGGGCACACTACCCTTTTTACACCTCTCCTGCACGGTTGAACACTTCGACTTGCGTGGAAAGTGGTGGCCTACGCCTGAGGCGGTTCAAACTATCACTGATACCCCAGGCTTTGGGTGTTTGAAGACATTGAAGATGGAGCTAGACACGGTATGGTGTGGAATTTGCCAGATGTGCTGTTTGTTCCCGTTTAAAGGCCGGCCGACGGGAGTGGTATATGAGGGGGGTTTGGGTTTGCCTTTCGACTATGCGCGTGTTCTAGCGCCACTTGAATACCTGGAAGAGGTTGTGAGTTATTACACCCAATTACCGCCCAGGGTGGACTACATTGGCTTTGAACGCAGACACAAACCCAGAGATGACCCCCACCTCCGACAGAAACGTAAACCCGAACTTATGGTCGGGTGAATGCAATATCTGCGTGCTGGTGGCGTACAAAGATGATGCGTTCCGCGAGGAGTGGGTGGCTAGGAAGAGACGCGTCGGTCTGGCGTACGGTGATGGTGATAGCGATGATGGTGAGAAAGATCTGAGGCCACCAAAGTTGAGGAGGGTGGAGTATCGGTTCTCTACAGGGTATCTTTGAGCACTAATACAGGTCAATCACGATGTAATCCGCATTTCTTCGGGGTGGATTCCTCTACGGGGTGAGACTCCCTGCCTTACATGCTTGTGCACAAGTTGACTGTTGTGCGCTTTACAGCTCCACCAAAAAAAAAAAAAGAAACAAGAAAAGAAGAAGCCGGTGCCTTCACAACCAGTTGTTACTCATTGGGACAGCTCCGGAACATATTCGCCTGGCTCACAAAAAAGTTCAGAAAAGCCGACCCATCCTTGTATGTTTTTAAATCTAGTTTTTGCAGTGCTTGGACCTCTGTTGATTGTTCCCTTCGAGCAACAGCATAACATATAGCGTGCTGGCGGTACGAGCTCTTCTTCGAATATGGGTGGAGGAGATGATTTGTTGTTGTAGTAGTCTTTGATGATTTGTTGTGTGCCATAGGCGATAGACTTTATTTTCTCTCTTCCTCTTCAATTTATTCAAACACAACGTTGGGCAACGTTATCTGACCATTT